TTTTTTTTTTTTTTTTTTTTTTTTTTTTTCCTCCTGGTTAAAAAGGAGCTTTCATTTGAAGAGCCTTTAGCAGATTGAGAGTCACCTTTTACAGTGCTCAGATAAATGTTACAACATAAATCATAAATCACATAGGCATAAAGTTTATGAATCTTCATGTCAAATATAATTATATTGAATTCTCCAAGAAAAAGCACAATGCCCAGAGCTGCTCTGCTGTTTTTTATTAAAGATAAGAAAGTAGGTCACTAACTACCTTTATCTCATTTATCTCTGTAAAACTATTTTTCTCACAGTTCCACGCCAGCCTGGAGTGAGCAATAATCTTTTTGAAATACTTGAAATTGAAAGGGGGATTACTGCTGATGAATTTGAAGCAAACGATGACCCAGGTAAAGATCACATCTCATGTTCAGGGCCTGGGCTTTAGGATTTTTTGAGATTTCTTGTGGGTTTCTACACCTTTACTGGACTCCTACATCTTATGTCCCTTGTTTAAACTGTGCTTTGTAAAAACAAAAAACTCCACCATCTAAGTGAACCTTTAGAGTTTTATTTCCTAACAGACTTAGCATAAAAATAGTGTGAACTGTTAATAATAACATTAGCATCCTTTTTATTGATTTTAGTGGTTTCGTAGATCCTTTTTCTAGTGCTGCTTCTGTTGCATTTAATTTTCATATTCACTTGCTAGTGTCAGCCACAAGGGATATGGCTGTAGTTCCCCAACCAAGACAATCCCAATGGTTTGTGTGGTTTTGACATTCTGCTCTGTTCTGCCCAGGTGTCCTGGTACACAGCTGTAATTTTGATAGTGGACTGTGTGGATGGATCAAGGACAGAGATGATGACTTGCACTGGGAACCAGTGAGAGATGCGTCAGGTAACATACCCATCTGCGATCATATCCTGTAGCTGAAGAACCACCAGGCTGGAGGTTGAGGACAGTTTTTGCATTATGATGAATTTACACAGCTTCTGTTCCCTTTAGTTCCAGGATACATTTCATACCCACACCTCTCCTGTGTATAACAATCAAAACTGAGGATTCTCACCATGAAAGAGCAATTGAGAAATTGCGGTTTTATCATAGCTGGTATCTTTACAATAGGAATGTCTCTGAAGGAGTAGCATATGTATTCAGTAAAGGATTATCTGTCTTAATAGAATCAGAAAGTACAAAAACGTGGACTAGAGAACAACTTTTATTTATGGTGAAACAAAGGTTATTTTTCAAACCACCATGCAAACATAATTATTTCTATATTACTAGCAAAATTATAGAGAGTGCTGGAAATAATCTTTGTTCTGCTGCCAAATGTAATGTTCAGTTTAACCCCTCAGTTTGATTTTATTGAATTCTACTCTTAAGTTACAGCAACCTGTATATAGGAAGACTGTTAAGTAACTGGAAGTCAAGTGAAGTGCTCGTATATAGAGACTTCTGAAAATGGGTCCATTTGTGATGGTAGAAAGTGCCCCTGCAATAACATTACAGGGCAGTGTGTACTAGCCCCTCCCAGGATGGAAGAAGACTGGCATGGGCAGGGGCAGTCAGCCAGAGCAGGGACCCCTCCCACCGCACACCTCTGCTGCCGTAGGCCCAGCAGCCCCGCACCTCTGCAGCATAGCTGGTTGTGTTTCGGGCCCTGTTGGTTTTGCTGCCCGGCCCCGAGAGGCTGGCTGGCCCTGCATGCGTACCCTTCCCCCAGCAGCGCCGGGGATTAGGCCACATCTCTGGCTCCCCGTAATGATGGGATTACTTCATACCCAGAAGCAGCCTTTGAAGTGCACAATGCTTACATTATGTGAGGGGATGGCAGGCTTCGAAGGAGACGCACTCTCAGGCGGTAAAATGTTACAGGTTAAGTTGAGGGAGGGTGAGGGCACTGAGAGCCATTTTCCAGCACTGATGTCTGTCCCTCCGCTGCCATTGATGAGACAGTCATTTGCCACCGCAGCAGGTGACCTGGCACCTTCTTCAGGCTGTTTAGGCGACTGAGTGGAAGTGCTGTCTTCACTTACCCCTTCCCACCCCCAGGCAGGCCCTAGTATTTCGTATGCTCCTTATGACACTTAAAAAGTCTCCTGAATGGACTCCAAGAGCAGAGCTCCTTCCTCCTGAAGATGAGAAACAGGCAGCTGTCTCCTGCTTGCAGACTGGCCTTTTAAAAATCACACATAATTCAAACATCATTTTGAAACAATGGGTTTAAAAACGCTTTGTTTCTGAGGTCAGTCACTCAAAGCATATTCATTATCTGTACTCAAAAATTGTTGTTAATATATATCAAGTTACAGAACTATGATTTTTAACTGGCTGCTTTTTATTTTTTTTTTAGACTTTTTTTTCCCCCTCCTGCGTTGCTTCCCAGTCACGGGCTTTTTGTTTCCTGTATGTTCTGCTGCTGTTGACATAACCTGTTAAAACTAGTCCCTTGAAGTCACCCACCCACTGCCTCCTGTCTGGAATACCTTGTTGCAAGGATTTATTTTCACAGCTTGTTCCCGAGTGTTTGCTTTTACCTTTCAGAGTTTGATATTTATTGGTTTCTCAGAATCTGCATTTTGAAAGGTGCCGTACTGAAGCCTTATAAGCTTATCTTGCATGCAGAAAATGCTGATTTGAGGGGACCTTTTCCTGCAGGGGCTTGCCTGTAGATACATTGGCTTTGTGCTTACCTAAATCTGTTTCCTATTGATTGTATCAGTCAGTGTAACTATCTGAAACAGATGCAGTTAATGAGTTGAGTCAGTACTTTTATAGTGATATAATTGTATCTACAACAAACAGGTGCAGTTATTTAAACTCTAGGATGCTTATTTTAGCAGTTAGTGACCTTGATGCAAAAACAGTGCATCAAAAACAACAACAAAAAAAAGGAAAATAAATGAACCAAAACACTTAAACAGATCCTTGCACAAATGGATTCCACTTCATGTCCAAATGCAGATCTGGGGCCCCAGACAGCAGCATAATACTTTGTTAAATCTGGTTGAGACCAAAGAACTCAAAAACCTATTTAGAAGTAGTAAATTGGAGACAAAGCTGGCTTTCCTTTTAAGTGTGTGACAAGCCCTGATACATTGTCATTGAGTAGCAGCAGAGCAACACTTCAAATGAAAAATACTTTTATATCCCACAAATAAGTAAAGACTGTGTATGTCCAACGGTATTTCTATATCAGTTTCAACTAAGGAGCCTAAATTCCACCTTTACCTTCCTTAAGTTCACTAAACTTGGATTTTCTGATTAAAAAAAGATTAAAAAAATCTAATTTTCTTTAAAAAAATTCTTCAGTTCAGAATAAAATAAGAATTTTTTTAAAAAAATTTTTAAAAGTTAACCCTACTCCCTTTGATAATTTCAAATTTTATCATCCACCTTGCAAAAGTTCTAATGGAGAGTATGAAGCAAAAAATACAGGTGTGGGTTTTCCCCAAGATGTGAACTATCATTTACTGTAATTTTGAGTGCCAGTGTGAAAGGGTGTGTGTAATTTAGGGAAGTATATGAATTTTTTTGTTCGTTTAGATTTAATGAATGTTGCCATACCAGAGATCCTCTACTTTTCATGTTCTAGGTGTTTTTATGAAGGCATCTTTACTTCATACATGATCAGAAATAATAGGGTTTTGAATTAAATATGTACATTCACTGACAATTTAACTACTGTTAGAGAAGACTTTAGGGAGTCTATCATATTAACAGCCATTTGGAAGTCATTACTGTTTCTAGGTTTTTGTATCTAATCCAGATTAAGACTTTACATTATGGTTAAATGAAAAGGCTCTGTGTTTGCAAAGGTTTGAGAATTAACCTGTTAACACAGTTCCCAAACCAAAGAAAGGAAAGGGACAGACCCATAGCTCAATTACACAGTAATATTTATGCTGGCCTTCTCGTTCATCCATCCAATAGCAAAACCCAGCAGTTTACAAGGAGTATAATGTATGCAGTAGTTTTAACATCACTGTGGGTTTAAAATCAGGCAACCAAGGGGTTGTCGTAAATTAAGGAATACATGAAATTTTTATTTTCAGCTGCAGGAGTTTCAATAAAGCCAAATGCCGGGGGTTGCCCTTGGGCCACAACAACCCCCAGCAGCGCTACAGGCTTGGGGAGGAGTGGCTGGAGAGCTGCCAGTCAGAGAGGGACCTGGGGGGGTTGATTGACAGCCGGCTGAACAGGAGCCAGCATTGTGCCCAAGTGGCCAAGAAGGCCAATGGCATCCTGGCTTGTGTCAGCAATAGCGTGGCCAGCAGGGACAGGGAAGGGATCTGACCCCTGTACTCGGCACTGGTGAGGCCGCCCCTCGATTCCTGTGTTCAGTTTTGGGCCCCTCACTACAAAAAGGACATTGAATGACTCGAGCGTGTCCAGAGAAGGGCAACGGAGCTGGTGCAGGGTCTGGAGCACAGGTCGTACGGGGAGCGGCTGAGGGAACTGGGGGTGTTTAGTCTGGAGAAGAGGAGGCTGAGGGGAGACCTCATCGCCCTCTACAGCTCCCTGAAAGGAGGGTGCAGAGAGCTGGGGATGAGTCTCTTGAACCAAGTAATAAGTGACAGGACAAGAGGGAATGGCCTCAAATTGTGCCAGGGAAGTTTTAGACTGGATATTAGGAAACATTTCTTTCCAGAAGGGGTTGTTGGGTGTTGGAATGGGCTGCCCAGGGAGGTGGTGGAGTCCCCATCCCTGGAGGTGTTCAAGAGTTGGGCTGACATAGCGCTGAGGGATCTGGTGTAGTTGGGAATTGTCAGTGTTAGGATAATGGTCTTTTCCAACCTAGATGATTCTGTGATTCTGTAATGTAAACAGACCACCAGCACAGTAAATCTTATCCTGCAGGAGGCAGATGCATCAGTTCTGGTTCACATCCCAGCAGCTGCATGCTTTATTTAAGACCCACTGGACCTTGCAGAGCCCTTATTTTTTTGGATTTTTTTTAATGACTCTTGTGCATTTAGTCATGCATTTAGTCCTGCAACACAGCAGAATTTAAAAAGACCAAAACTAACTGTTTTTTCTTTTGCAGGGGGACAGTATCTCACCATCTCTGACCCCAAAGGCAAAGAAGGAAGAGTAGTACATCTTATCCTGCCCTTGGGTCACATGGCTCCTGCTGGTGACTTGTGCCTGTCATTCCGGCATAAGGTGCCCGGGCTGCATTCTGGAGCCCTCCAAGTCTTTGTAAGGAAGAATGGAGCCCATGGACCTGCTGTTTGGGGAAGAAATGGTGGCCATGGCTGGAGACAGACACACATAACTTTACGAGGACTAGGCATCAAGAGTGTAAGTACTGATGCATGGATGCATGTGCTGCCTTTTTTTTTTTTTTTTTTTCCCATGAGAAGCTGAAGACATTTAGGTAGCTTAGCACCAGACTATTTTTTTCTGGGTCTAATTTCAGCCTGTGTTTTACTATTTGATCCCTGCCAATGGAATTACATTAAAGGTAAGAGAGTCATTGTGCATTTTTTCAAATTAGTTTCACAAAAAATTCCCACCTACAGCAGAAGCCACATAGAAAATGACAAAATAGCCTGTACTGAGCTACCTCGTCCAGCCTGTTTTAAGGGAACTGCCACATAGGAAGGAGCAGTTTAATGGACAACAGCATGCTGTAAATGGATTTCCAAAAGTCTGTATCAAGATTCCTCATGAACAGTGCTTTAAATAATACACTGTCATGGAGAATAGGAAGACTCTTCCCCTGTAGATTAGCACCTGGCTAAGGGCAAAGATATTTAGAAGAAGTAATTTTTGGTAATGCAGGGAGGTTATATGTGCAATCTCACATGGTTTTATGCTCTTCAGCATACCTGCAGCAGATCTGGCCAACGAAGTAAATAATGAACTAATGCCAATAACTCAGAATGGTTTAGTGCAATCAAAAGAAGCTGTCTGAAGTGCTGTGGAGAAACTTTTAATGCCTGGAAGTCTTAGAAACATCGGGTGATAAACTGATATAAAAAGTTCAGCATTTTCTTCCACCTCTGCTTGAAGGTAGTTTCTGTTTCAGATCAAAAGAGGAGGCTTGGGTGCTTCAGGGCCTGTTTTGCTCTGGTATATAGCAGATGGTCTAAAATAATGTTCACGGTGGGAGCAGGCTACAACATATACACAGTAGGTAGTTCTACAGTTGATATTAAGGCTCTGATTACCAAGGATAATTTTCTGAAAACTTTACCTCAGCAATAGTAACAAAGATGCCTGACCTCCTGTTAGCTGTAAATAAATGTCAGTCTGAGAATGTGGAAATTTTTAGCAGGTGAACAATGTATTTGCCACATTCTTACCCTTTTTTGATAAGTTTAATGCTTCTGGTAATCCTCAGGTCTGTCTCACCTGATAGAGCAGTTCATTAAATAAGTGTGTATCACTAATACATTGTCTGGCAGAAAAGCAAATGAGTTTGAGAACCCAGAGGAGAACAGTAGTTGCCCTTCACGCTGTCCCCTGCCTCTCAGGCCCACCTTATCAGCAGCTGTCAGTGGGACTTGCCAACCAAAGCCCATCACCGTTCTGCAGAGCAGAGCTGCCTCGTGGCCCCTTACAGAACAGTCGAGTCTGGGATCTTTTCCAGCCAGCGTGGGCAGCCAGGGCTGCTGACCTGGACCACCGTCACATTTAGTCCAAGGATCAGGGAATGAGGGAAACCTCTAGGTAAGCAGGGAAAGCCTCTGCCCCAGAGAAACCAGGAGGCAGTAAGGAAGCTTTATTTTCTAGCTAATTAAAAAACAACAGCAATTAAACACTAGTGATTTTAGGGGGGGCCTACTGGAAACCTGAAGAGAATATGAATGGAGACCAGAATCCTTCATCACATTTTCTAATAAATTATCTCTGTGTAAAAGTACACCCAAAATCATTAATTTCTAAAAAAATAATCCAACACAGTTTCTCTGACCTCCTCTGTTCCTATTCCTTGTTTAAAAGTGTGATTTCAGCAAGCATCCAGATTTTAACTATACAGCTGAATTTCTGATCTATGAATCTAACAGCAGACTCTTACAAAGTTTTGCTGTAGGCTTCAACTGATTTTTAAGCCATGGTCAAAACCACTGACTGTATTAAACAGTTCAGGTTTCTGAATCTATAGCTGCAGCACAGGTGAGGAATACTGATTTGTGGTAAGTGTTTCTTAAAGTCAGGTGGCCATTCTGTAGATCTTCTCTGGTTTATGCTTCAGTCTTTCTAGTCAAGCTTTATATTTGTTCAATTTCTCCTACTCAGGCTAAATCTGGACTGCTAGTGATCTGTGTAAATCCATGCCCAAACATCTGCCAGTACCATTTTGTGAGGAGCCAGTGCTTCTATAGATTACACCATGAGAGTGCAGGAGCTAGAATTTGTTAAGTAAAAAATGGGTGTCTAGTTCCCACAACCAAGGCAGGTGCAAGATGCTTTAGCAAAGGAAAGCTCCTCTATTAGACAGCACTTTTTCAGAATACAGAGGATTTTATATGTTTGCAATGAGGGGCAATGAAAACAGTGCTGAGACAATATGTAGAAAGTGCCCAAGATTCTCTTATGTGGAAGTTCATCTCACCTCAGCAGATAGTGCAGCTGGAACAATTCTGGCCTGAACTGCCCAAACTTCACAAAGATCCTGCCCAAGTGAAGGGAGACAATCAGGCACAGAAAAAAAAGCCATAATTCTGAGCAGAATCAATAGGCTTCTGTGAGTCAGTTATGATTGCCTGAGCTTTCTTATGTTGCTTTCTTACTGTTTAGACCTCTCTCAACTAAAGCTGCTTTCATTTTACTTCACTTTTTGCACTCAAATTGTTCTATTTCTCTTCCCAGGTTATTTTCAGAGGGGAGAAAGGGAAAGGAAGAACCGGGGATATTGGACTAGATGATGTGATCTTGAGGAGAGGACGCTGCTCTGAAGAGCATTAGCAAAGACAGTGGACCAGCACAGTCATCTCCTCTAGCCCTTCTCATGCTATTCCTACCAAGCTTTGAAACAGAAGTGCACGAAAAAGAAGTCAGAGAGTGACAACTTCTTAGTGGTTTGCTAAGTGCAATCTCACTGAAACTTCACTTAAAAACATGGAGAGCACCTCCCAGGATTCAGGAACTCCAATCCCATGCTGGTTGTTTCTATTAATCCTTACCCCTAAATCATATATTGTATGTAGTAACTTTAACCCCTGTTAAGCCTGGGGAGCGCTCACACAAAAAGCACTTGTGAAAAGGGAGAATTAAGTACAAATGGTGTAAAAGAAAGCTCCAGCTCAGAAAGTTTTAGTGTTAACTGATAGTCATTATCTTCCCATAGTGCTACTCTTTCATTGATTGGATTTGATAGGCAGTGGGATTGATGTGGCTTCAGAGTCACCTCAGATTAGAGGAAGCCTGGACCTGAGCTTTGTCTTACTGCCATTGACCTCTGAGAAGGGTTTGCTTCATATTAAATAGCATTTATTTTGGTGTTGCATCTGTATAAAAAAAACCCCCCAAAAAACAGTTATAGAGAGTAGGGACTGCATCCTGTAATATTGCTACTGTTGTGTTTTGTGTATATGTGTATGGTTATTAAGATATTTATGTTCTTAATATTTACAGACTCTAGTTGCGAGGTAATTGGCAGCTGTGCTTTCTTATTGTACAAGACAGGAGTTCAGCATATTCTTTGATCCCACTGGTCATGCCAGTAGATGTGTTACCAAAGTCAGTTAATGGTGCTCACTGAAAAATGCTGGTGCAGTTTTTCACGTTGTAATATGCTAAAGGCAAAAGACCAAACCCTTACCTGGTGTAAACTGGCATCTGATAATGCTGTACAAGTTTGCACTTAGCTCAGGAGCAAGCCCTAAAGAGCTCTCAATCCTGCAAGAAACTCCCAGTTCAGTTGAAGACTGAGCAGCCTGGAGAAGAGAACTCACTTCTTGTAAGACTGAGCCGGTTGACTCCACCAGGAATGTTCCCTTCCCACAGGTGGTACAAGCCTACGCATGAGCAAAAAGGGCAGTTGCATTAATACTGTGTGAACAGTTCAGACCATGAAATGCCTTGAGTGATCTTTCTCTAATGTCCATATTACATCTAACCCTTCTGTATATAATAAACATTTTATTCTTTAGATCTAGAACAACTATTAGCTCTAGCTGGAACTAAATATTTATCAGAACTTTGGATGATTTTTTTAGTTATGTATCATGCATGTGGTGTGCAGTTTCCCAGGGAATTCTTCTGTTTGGCTTGGGATTTTTTTAAATGAGAGTCATCATCATCGCTGCTAACAATTTTAAATCCAACAAAGTAAGTGTAACATTTAAGAAAATGACAAAAGATTGATAAAAAGTTGTTAGTGGCACAGCCTTAAAGCTTCAAAAATGTCTATGTAGAAGACATAGAAAGCTCTCTCAGAGCTTTCAAATACTTAATGTAAAATGTAAAATAAATGTCAGCTTCATATCATGTCAGAAAACCATCATTAAAAAAAATTCATGTTAAGAATTGCACAAAGTCCAGAGACAAAATTGCAAGACTGTTAGAGGTCATGTTCCAAACCTTTGTTTATTTGGCCAAACAGATAGTCTCTTGCAAAACTGTATCAACAAAGATTTTGAAGAGGAAAAAACAATGCATTTGTAAACATTTTTAAACTGTCTTGCTTCAGATATGATCATGATCTTTTTCTCTTACATTACTTTGTAATATGTCAGAAATATTTGTGAATAGTTGAAATACTTTGTCCTTATTTTAAAGTAATCAGTAAAGGAGGCTGTTACTTGCTAATAATTGGAAATCTTGTTTTCATTTCTGGATTGAAAGTCTCATTTTTATTGCAGTGAAATGAACCAAAAGATGACAACCACAGTGAAGTAGCTCTTGTTATCAGATTTAAAAATAAAAGTACCTATCAGTATATTACAACAAGAGCATTATATGTATTATACAAAAGGAAGAATGACAATTTTCAACCTACCTTTTTTTAAGAACAGTTTCACAGGTAATTTAAGAGCTTCTGCAATATACAGTGTCCATTGCACAAGAAGCAGCAGCTACCATAGTTCCACACATGCTGCTGAACCTTCACAAACTTACATTCTTTGCCATCTAACAAGATAAACACATTTCAGTCTGGTTCATCACAGTGGATGAAGATGGTCTTTACCAGATATTACCACAGTGCTCTGAGATTGAGACTCCCTGGTGAAAAAAGAAATCTGTGCAAGACTGAAAGAATTTTTTGCCCCTTTACAACTGGCCCTTAGCACCCAGCACTTGAATGGATTCAGAAGGTAAGCAGAGAGAAGTACTCAGGTGACAAGAGGAGGATTTGGCGTCTCTGCTTTATGGATGCATTTCATTGTTACAGTCAAACAAGTACCACTGTAAAGACTTGTTACCAACTGAACTTGACAGAAGACACAGAGTAGTCTCAGTGAGTCTGATCTGAAGGAGCTTCAAGTCACTCACCGCTGCAGCTGGTTGTGCCGTAAGGCTGTAGGTGTCACCTTCTCTGGGTGTTTCTGAAGAGATGTGGTGCAGTCAGTCTGGTTCTGCCATGATCATTCTCCAGGTCTCTGTGCCCACCTTTTGAGGCAGCTCCGAACAGCCGCAGCCCCCAGCCAGCACACGGCAGGTACTGCCAGTTTCATAGGAGCCTCAAGGCAGATGGGCCTGAGGTCGTCCTAGCAAGGAGGTTGTATAATAACCGCCCTTCCTGCTTAGGGTTCAGTAAATAGGTAACTGTAGCAAGAGAAATTCCTGCTTAGATACTTAGACAAGCAGAAGAAATTGCACTAAATTAACATGAAAACATTTGAAAAATGTACTGTATAACCTCTTGCCAGCTTATAATTTAATCTTTTTAAAAGACATGTTAAACATTTTTTCCCCAAAAAAATCGAAAATTAAGATTCTTCATAAATTACAGGTACTGTGGCAGTGTGCATTTACTGAGGTCAAACTGAGTACACTGGAAGAGACTGATAGAAGATTTTGTTTCCAGATTCCATTCTATAGTCACCTCAGCTCTCATCTAAGCCATGTCATTAAGTCACTAGTGAGTGCTTTCAATAAACCCCCTTTGCTCTGGAGAAAAGCTTCCCCAGGTTCCTTCAATAAATTTCCCTAGACTTGGAGGTCAAAACATTGTTTTTTTAATATAGCTGGAGAGTACAATAACCACCTTAGCAGGAGTCAGATTAGTCATGAGAAGACAACCCTGAGCAGAAGAATGCTCATGACAGCAGCATCCAGCTGGAGAAAAGACACAACAGTAGCACCTGTCTCCAATCCAAGTGCCATTAGAGGTTGCTCCTCCTGCAAATGAGGTTCAGTAATGGCCTCGGAGACTGCTAAAATCAGAGACTTTGGATCAAGCTGTGCATTGGGACAGTCGCCTTAAAATCTGTTCAGTCTGCATTTAGAGATACACAAGATCACTATAGCTGCCTGCCTTTGAAATTTTAATTGTGTTAGTCATTAACTGTCAGCTGAGGCCCAGTTAAATAGGCAATTTTTATTTATATAGAACTACATCTCAAACACCAAATTATCAAAGTTTTTGTGCTAGCTGTAACACTTTCTTACCTGCTGTTCTATCCTGATGTCCTGTAGTGATGCAAAATTTTACGACTTCAGATTTTCCGCACCAATAAGAAAAGAAGATGAGCAATGCATTGGTGTAAACCTGAAAATTTAGAAATAAGAGATATTTTAGTGGTAAGTTCCAGGAGTGGTTTGAAAGAACGCAGAAACCTCCTCAAGCTTTGAAAGTGAACGCATTCTCAGAGCACACCTACTGCATCAAACTGACCTGGCAATATGTGAGGAAATGCATTTTGAACATCCGTAATCCTTTATTTGGTTGAGAGGAAGCTAACAATGGACTGAAGAACTTCAAGGATGACAAAGACAACTTCAACAATACCTATAGAGTTCAGACACCAGCTCTGTTTAGGTTTTAGGGATCACAAGTCCAAAATGAATCAAATCACACTGTAGTTGCTCTGCTTTTACCAATTGTTCCTGTGCACTTGTATGACCTCTTCAGGCCCAAGCCCTGTTCCTTTGCTTTGAAACAAACTGCCCTCTAGACAGTGCTTTTGCTTATTGCTTTGGGCTGAGATAGCTTATTTCTGAAAAACGAACAAGTTATTTTTTTATTTCTGTCCCCTCTTAAACTTGAAAACCAGTGTGGGTAACATTATTGAGATCAGGGTAGCAGTTTCTTTTCACAGCAAATAATCCAATTACTGTATCTGAGTGCTCACTGGGCTGTTCATGTTAGGTTGCATTTTTTCTCCTAAAAAATCTCCGATGTACCTCCCAAGAGCCAGATAGGGTATCATGCTAACACATGCTTGATACATGTCAAAAGTCCAGATCTAGCCTTCATTTTATTAAGAACAACAAAGCACAGTGGACCTGAATTTTCTGGATAAAGCCAGAAATAATCCCCTGCTCCATAGATCAGGCACTCCCTATCATTATTTTTCCTCAGTTTACTTCCCAATAGCTGTTAATAATCAACCAATTCTTTACTCTTAGTAATATATAACCTCATTCTGTAGTACACAGGCAGATTTTTACCACTTTACTCCTTTCCTGTAATCTAGCTATTAAAGGACTCCCCAAGACCCAGGAACAAGGCTCCGTTGCCATCAAACCACTCTTCTGCGGCTATCACAGACACCACATCCCCAGAGCAAACGGGCCCTTGCTACAGCATCTCTGTGCTCTATGTACCAGGAAATATTGTCTGTAATTGCACATACTGCATGTGTGTGTGTGTGTGCGTGCACACATGCATAGTGTGCCTAACAGGCTGAGGCCAGTATCAAGTGTTTGAACAAGGAAGCCAAGTATTTATTGAGTACACTGAATAAGGATGCCCCTCTCTGTGGCACAGCCAAATCCTGCCTTCCTCTGACCAGAAGATACTGAAGGACTTTTCCAGAAATTTTTGTTAACCTTCCATGTTGTGACTTTTTT